GGCCAGCCTCTCTCAGCTCTGTGCTCTCTGCATTTCAGATGCCCGGGACGGAGGACCCCCAAGATCTGCGCGGCACTGAGGACTCCAAGGAGAACGTGGAAAGCCCCAAACAGGGCGGCAATAAAACAAAGCCCAAGAGCCGTCTTTCAGGTGAGTGGGAACTTAGTCTCTGCACAGCGCAGCTGCCTGGCTCCAGCTTCACAAGTGGGGAGCTAATGCCGTAGCGGGATAAGCCCTTTTTTCCTTGAAACTTCAAAATTGTTTTTCCATTAGATGGTGCATGTCCCAGGCCAAACCACATTCAGCCTGGCTGCCCAGTAAGTATTTTTATTTGAATCATAACAAAGTGACTGTCGTCATCTCCGTGTGTCCCTGGTGCTGACACCTACATTTCTGTGCATTTGCTTCATTTCTTCAGGAGGCTTTCAGGCAACCCTTTAGGTCTGGTATTTCCCCAGTGGTCTGTCTTCCCAGAGGGTACCCATCTCCCTCAAACCCTCAGGTCACCAGAACAGGTGGCAAGGGCCATTTATCTGATAACAAATCTGCATCTCACCCAAACTGGAAAAAGATAGGATGGAGTTTTAACTTTTGGAAGGAACAGATCCTGCGTCCCTTGGGCGTTTCCTTACCGTCACTGACCTGTGCCCGAGAGAAACTCAGCATTGAAAGCAGAGGCTGAGAGCAGGAGGTCCTCGTGAAAGGCACTGTCCTGGGTACTTTTGCCTCAATGGGCCTTTTCCTCTCTAAAAAAATAATTATTATTAGATTTTATGGCTGTGAAGGTAAAAAGATACAGGCTGGATTTATTCATATCTATTTGTTACTATTATGTTCATTTTTGTTTTCCTTGTATTTAAAAAGAAACTAAAATGGAAGTGTTTCTGCAGGGCCCTGGAAGCGGCATGGGCCTTCGGCATGCTGGCCTGGTGGCGAGGTCAGCCCTGGCTTCCCCCACAACAGACCGCTGGTAGAGCAGGAAATGTCCAGCAGAACCGGGCTTACCTACCCCTCAGCTCTTGAGTTATCTGATGACCTTGGGCTGGTATGACCTGACTTTGAAAGGTTACACAGATTTTTTTTTTTGAATGCACATTAAAGCATCTAGCACAATTAAAAGTATCTTAATATCCAAAAAATATTCATTTGCTCTTCCTGCCACCCAAGTCAGTGGGGAGGGCGTGGCTATGCCGCCAACCTAGAGCATCCCCCTCCCCCGTTACCTGGCCCTCTACTGAGTTTGTTCTTGGGAAGGTGGCAGGTGTAAGAACATGAAATACATCTTTTTTAAAAACCTGATTACTGAAATGAGTTATTTTATATTTATGACTCAGAATAATTAGGCAATGTTACATCTGAACAAGTGTTAGAACATGAGTTTGTGACAGAAAGAGTGGCAGTCACCAGAGGCTCAGGAGGAGGAATCTGAAGGGAGATGTGGTGAAGGCTCTCGTGGAGGTGGTGACCAGCTGCCCACCAGCCTTGAGGATCAACTGAGAGAAATACAGTAGAACATCTGTAAGCTGACCACCCAAGGGACAGTAGCAAACTGGTCAACATACAGAGGTGGTCAACATAAGGAACTAGGCCTGCTGTACTGACACACACAAGTGATGCATGTCTGGTTGATGAACATGAGGTCAGTTTGAGGACGTGGTCAGTGTAGGGACTTGTTCAGCTATGGAGGTTCTGCCGTGGGGCAGGGGAGTCACAGGACACAGGAGAAGCCTTTGGTTCAGCTATCTTGGCAGAGTTGTGCAACCCCTTACAGTTGTGTTCCCAGGGAGGTTCCTGGAGCTCTGAGGAAATACAGGGACCTCCAACCATCACATTCCTCATTTTACGACTGATACCAGAGAAGTTAAGAGAGTCCCAAAGGTTACTCAGACAGTGCCAGGAAAAAGATCTGCCTCCCAGAGTTCTTCTCCCTTACCCTTTGGCTTCCTGGAGATCTTGAAAACTGTTTCCAAACTGGGGCTTTATGGATACAGATTTGAGGCAGGGGACACGGCTAGAGGATCTTCTAAAGGCCTGAATTTTCTAACTCTGTTTGTACTATTCATTTAGAATGAGCAGCATGTTTGACTGAGTCATAAGTCCAGGGCTGGCCACCATTTGCTACAGATGGATGCCCCCCTGTCTCCCTGTGTCTTTCTGAGATGTCCAAGGCCATAACAAGGCCCTGTAGCATAGGGGACCAGGCCCCTGCATGAATCGGGCAGAACCAAGTCCCAGTTCTACCACTCTGGTTGCAGGACCTGGGACAGGGCCTTCTTTGAATCTCAGTTTCTTCATTTGTCAAATGAGATTGCACTATGTGTTTATTCTGCCAATGAGTGAGAGCGCCTTCTACATGCCACAGCTTGTTTGCTGATCGAGTCGACAGACTGCACGCAGCATCGCCACTTCAGACTGTGGCAGCAGCAGGCCCTCACCATGCCGTGGCCGCCTCCGCTGTTACCATCGTCAGCATCATGTTCATCAGCATCATTTTCACTCTTATCGTTCTTGGCGCTCTCTCAAGAGGGGAAGGTGTTTGAATGGGTTCAGGCAGGAAGCCTCCTCAAGAAGGGGTAGTCCCAGAGAAGGTCACACACACACATATGCCCAGGGTTGGCCACCGCAAGGCACACATAAGAGGGACAAAGACTCTCTGGGATGTGGTGCTCAGGGGACATGTCCGGAGGATGCTGGGCAAAGGAGGGCCAGTACGTTAGTGGGATTTGGTACAATAGAGGGCAAGAAGGGCAGTGGTCTAGACTTGGACAAAGTGAATGAGAGGTGTTGAGGGACAAAGGGGATAAAGTAATTAGAAAAGTTGCGGGGAACGGTTTTTCCTCCTCACCCACTTGAAAGATCTGGTGTAATCTGACAGGCACAATGATTCCGTCCAGTAGAGTTTGTCACAGTAGAGTTTGTCAGAGTTTGTCCTAGAACAAAGGACATAGCAGGATCCTGGGCTGAGAGCTGACAGGTAGAGCTTCACCTGACTCTTATGAAAACAGGGAAGAGGACACATCCTTCCCTTTGAGAATCATCAAGATAGGATAACAAATTCATAGAGATAAGACTGGGAAAGTAATTTGGACACACATTAAACAGGCTTAAGGAATTAGACCCTGATGGGTGCTGTGAAATACGTTCACCCTAAAGACATTTGTATACTGGAGAATCAGCACCTAATTCTTGTAAATCTGGATATTTATTTCCTATTTCCTCAAAGCAAGTCACTGTGATACTCACACATCAGTATATTAACTCTAGACACCCTGTGTGTGGTTTCTCTTCTGTTAATGACAGTGCCTCCCTATCAACTCATAAGCAATTTTCTTCTAGTAAATCTTTTTCAGATGAATTAGTATGCCAAGAAATTAATCTAGTTATGAGTTAGTATTCAGCTATGAATTATTAAAGAGTTTCTATAGAGGTTCCAGCCATTTCCACTAAGATTTTGCCCATTCCAGCTCCACAACCACTAAAGCAACATCACCTGTCATTTCATGGAACATTGTTCTGGTATTCCAACCTGAGTTCTTACTTCGTAACTTCATAACCTCCTTTATTTTTTTTATTTTTTATTTTTTTTTTTGTGAAAAGGATTCCCTTTCAGTTTTGGTACTTTTGACTTGTGTATATTAATGTGTTAGGTTTGACCTTTCTAAATGCAAAATTTTTCTTAGTTGCAAAGGAATTTTGTATGTTTAAAACCCTGTTTTGCAAAGTTAGTATTTAGCTTTTGAAAAAAGCCAAATATTCGGCAACATCCATTATAACTGTATCAACGTTCTTTTTATCACTTTTTAAAACTCATCAATATATCATTTTTAGAAGAGTATAGAATAGTCTTATAAAAAACTTTCAGAGAAATATTTAGGTAAATTGAAATTTTAGGTCATCAAATTAAATGTTACTTTATGTAGAAGAGTTTGATAGATAGAAGTGTTTGTGTAGATAGACAGAAGATAGATAGAAGTTTGTGTAGATAGATAGAAGTGTTTGTGTAGATAGACAGTAGAGCCTCTGTAACTTGACTACCCAAGGGACTATAACAAACTGGTCAACATGCAAAGGTGGTCAGCATAGGAAACTAGGCCTACTATATTGATACGTACATGTGGTGCTTGTCTGTTCTGTGAAAATTAGGTCAACTTAAGGAGATGGTCAATGTAAGGAGGTAGAAAACTATGGAGGTTTACTATATATACAAATACACATATACATATATATACACACATATAGAAATATATATTGTATATAATACAAACATTGTAATGTGATTATAGCTATATTCATATATAATATATCATTTAAGGTTAAATTTCCTTAAATTATCTTATCTTAAAATAGCATGTAACATAGATTGGATAGCAGTAAAGTCTTTAAAAATCATTACTACAGACATTTCTTAAACATGACACAAAAGTGCTAGTCATAAAGTTTTTAAAGGCATATTACACTACATTAAAATTATAAACTTTTTTCATCAAAATATACCATAAAGATAACAAAAGGCAAGGCATGGATATGGAGAAGATATTTAAAATCTATAGATTCTATAAAGGACTCATATCCAAGCTACATTAAAAATAAATTAAAATTCCAGGTGGTGCCTGTGGCTCAAAGAAGTAGGGCACCAGCCCCAAATGCCAGAGGTGGCAGGTTCAAACCCAGCTCCAGCCAAAAACTGTAAAAAGAAAAAAAATTAATTAATTAATTAAAATTCCTATAATTCAATAATAAAAAGACAAATTCAATTTAAAATAGGCAAAAGACTTGAACAGGCAATTTATAACTTTACAAAAGGAAAGCAGCCAATGACTGTATGAAAAGAAGCTCAATCTCACTAGTCATCAGTAAAATGCAAGTTAAAAAACACATGAGATACTGTTATATACCCACCAGAAATGGCTCAAAGTAAAGAGTGATACTGCCACATATGACAAGATGTGGAGAAGCCAGAACTCACAGGTGTTGGTGATATAGCAAGGGAAAAGGTAGATCGATGCCCATTGTCCAGTGACTCCTCCCCAGGCTTGACCCAACAGAAGTGTGAAAATATTCAGTGGTGGTATATTCTAGATAAGGGGTCAGAAGAATACAGCCCATAGCTGTGCTCATATGGCCCACAAGATAGAAACGCTTTCTACATTTTTAGCAGGTTGATTTAAAAAAAGAAGGAAAAAAATACATGATAAAGACTATTTGTGGCCCACAAAACCTACAAGTACTAACTGGCCTTTACCAAAAAATTACAGACTTTTGCTCTAGATCTGAAACTGGAAATGACAAATGTCCATCAGCAAGAGACTAGATAAACTGTGGCGTATTTATATTACAGAAAGAATAGAGATGACAAACCATGAGTATGCCACAACATGACCAAATCTCACGAGCAAATGCTAAGAATGAGGAAGTAGGCATAAAAGAAAAGTACAGATCATATGCGTTCATTTATATAAAGTTCAAAAACAGACAAAAGTGATCTGTGATGTTAGAAGTCAGGGTAATGGTTACCTTCGTGTAAGGGATGGTTAATGGTACAAAGAAGGCTTTTGAGGTCCTAGTTAATCATCTTCTTGATCTGGGTGTTGCTTATTGATATGTTCACTTTGTGAAATTTCATTGAATTATACACGGTACACCTAACGATTTGTGCACTTTTCTGTAAATTGTTAGACTTTAATAAAAAATTATTAAAAAGCCATCCCTATGCAGGGAAGATAAAGCATCTGCCCCAACAGTGGAACTGCCAACTTCAACGTGATCATCTTCCATCACTGGAAAACAATCTACTTACAGGCTTCTCACTATTGTTTATTGCCTTATCTACAGCTACCTCTTACTTTGATCAGACATGTATAGTGCCGCTATTCCAGTATGATCACTTCAGAAATGGGCAGCTTTCTGATAGCCTGGCAGGAATGGCATCCACACATTACTGGGCCATGTAGAGCCTGGTAGTAGAAGGTGGTGAGCCTGGTGCTCTGAGTGTACTGGCTATTGGGCCTTCTGAAAGCCACAGAGGTAGGCGTAAATGCAGTAAGTTTGGGCCCAGGGAGGCATTTAAGATTTTTTTCATCCCATCAAACCGTGTTTTTTCCCTTTTTTGTCAAGGGGGTGTTCACCGCCTAGAGTCTGTTGAAGAATATAACGAGCTGATGGTGCGGAATGGGGACCCTAGGATCCGTATGTTGGAGGTCTCCCGAGATGGCCGGAAGCACTCCCTCCCTCAGCTGCTGGATTCTTCTCGATCATCACAGGTCAGTCCAGGGCCACAGAGCCTCTGTTCTCTTGCACAGTCACCAGTGCTTGGTTAGGGTCAGTAGAACATGTTTCTAGCCCCTGGGTCTCCGGGCTATTTTCTTTCTTTCAAAAACCATAAGGGCTTCCGTGTTAAGAATTTCCCATCTATGCCGGCCAGGAGTTTTTGGGGGGGGAGGGGTAGAAAGAAATATAGAGTGCCGAGAAGCTAGAAAGAATTCAGCCTAATATTTGAAAATAATAGGAGGGAAAAATCCTTCATTGGATCTCAACATCATGATCCCCTTCCTACTGTGTGTTTTGGAAACGAGTTGCTTTCAGTTGCCAGGAGACAATGGCGTCTCGCAGTCTGTGGTGAACCACGGTTGCATGTTTAATAGGAGCGTCATGTGTCAGCATAACAACTGTGTGGGTGGGTGTGGACCCTGGTTAGAGAGGGAGTGTGAGTGTTCATGTCCCCACGCCACACTGGGAGTCCAGCCTATCAGCAGCCAGGATCACAGCGGGCTGCAGCACGTGATTGGTTACCATTCCAGAGCCTGTTCCCAGAAGACCTCTTGTCTCCATAGCCCTACACGGGGCTTCTCTTAAATCATATTCCCTTCAACCTGGTAGAAACTGGGCAGACAGTCACATAAACAATTTGAGGGCAGACTCGGTCTCTGGAGAGTCAATATTTTTTGAGTCTTGGCATCAAGAGGAACTATTACCATCTTGTCCCTAGACGTGGAGGACGATGTGGTGTCAACAACAACCATACGAGCTTGGAGACCCACAGATGGGACAGTTGGAAAGGACCTGGGTCCGACCCTTATTTTTAGTGTGTTGTGACCATTTTGCGAATGGGACGACTGAAAATTAAAGATGTTAAATATTTTGAGATATGCCCAAATCTCTGTGAAGTAAAGTACATCAATTGATATGTGTCAGAATGAAATATTTGTGTTGCTTCTGAAGCTTTATACCTGACTAGGAGAATAAAAAGGGTCCATGTTTTAAAGGTAATTGCTGATCAGGCTCTGTCGTGTTGAATTCACCCAAAGGCAACTCAAGGGGATTTGGGGCACTGTTTGAAAAAGGAGAGGGAAAAATTGCCTAGACCCTCATTAAAAGTCATCCAGACTTAGGACTGAAGGCAGATCTGTGATACGCTCAGAATGATCCACTTGGACCCCCGAAGTCAGGAGTTATCAGAATGTCCCAGGAGAGCCGAATCCTGAGGCTGTTTGAGTTAGTAGAGGATGAGAGAGAGTTTACTGCTACCACAGACACGGACCTAGCAATCAGGTGGTAATTTCTTAACTGACCTGCTGAGGAAACCTGACCATATTTATGGCCCCAAAACATCCATTTCTAACTAGGCTTTCAGGAATCAGAAAGCCCAGGCTAGGGTAGAGCATTTTTAGAAGAGAGGTTTTTTTTCTTTTTTTGAATTGTCCTCTGCCTTGTTATCTTTTCTTATTTTCTGCCCTTTTCTTTTTCTCCCAGGATTCACCTTTTTTTCTTGGTCTCTCTTCCTCCACTAAAAAGTACTGTCTAGACTAGAGCTAACCAAAACTTTCTGTAGCACTGGAAATGTTTTATATCTGTACTGGGTTTTGTTTGTTTAAGATAGAGTCTCACTCTGTCGCCCCTGGTGGAGTGCCCTGGAGTGATCATAGCTAACAGCAACCTCAAACTCTCGCCTCAGCTTCCCAAGTAGCTGGGACTACAGCCGCCCATCACAACGCCCAGCTAGTTTTTCTGTTTTTAGTAGAGACAGGTCTTGCTCTTGCTCAGGCTGGTCTCAAATTCTTGAGCTCAAATAATCCACTCAGCCACTCACTAGGATTACAGGCATGAGCCACTGAGCCCAGCCTTATATCTATACTGTTGAATATGATAACTGTATGTCTACTGAGCACATGAAAAGTGGCAAGTGAGGAAATGTGTTTTCAATTTTAGTTAATCTTAATTTAAATACCAACAGCACAGATGGCAGGTGGCTGCCATATTGGACAGCACAGGTCTAAAAAGTTCAAGGGGACCCTGAAAATTGATCAAGAGACCAGTGAAGCATGCAGGCCTTTGATGCACATTGGGTCTCAGAAAGGAGATACATGATGGGAGCAAGGCTTCCTATAGGAGTTTACATACCCAGCTCTGTATTCAAGGGTTGAGAAAACCCTGGGCCCCCTCTGGCCATCTCTGCAGTGGTTTCAGTAAAAGGGTAGTAACTTTGCCAAGCCCACGTCGTGTTTTTAAAGAGTCAGTGTCTGAAAGGCCAATGTTGTTGGCAGATATTTTTTAAAGTTGCAAAATAGAATCGTCCTAAAACTTCCAGGAATACGAAAACACCATTGGCAGACATCTCATTTCTCTGTTTGTATGCAGGACACACAAATTAAGGATAAAAACTCCTTCTGTGATGTCTCTTTTCACATATTAAACATGAAGCAGTTTGTTTTTTGGCTCATGCTGGAATATCTGCACCATTTAAGAAGTTTATTATTCTAAGGAGAATAGCAAGGGACTAGATGGTAGGAGCACTTTAGCAACACAGTCATTTCGTCTCTTGCTTACATTGTAATTAGTGCAACCCCCTTACAACACGTGTATACTAGGGGGGACAGATGTGAAAAGGGGATGCAATTTGAGCTGCTGTGTGTCAGGAAGGGAAAGTGTGGCTTCTGGGAAAATATTTTATTTTCCAAATGTGAGGATTAAAACTAAAGCTGCTGCCGTCTCTCGGTGGGATGTTTTATATGGAATAACAGTCGTCTGGGTTTGTGGTTAGGGTTTTATAAGAAATCAGAGCTTGCTGAGTTTTTGAGTGAGTGAATTAAGCTTAAACTGGTGAGATACTTTCTAACCATGATTGTGAACTTGGGACAGGGGTAGGAGGTGGCTTCCAAGGGAGGGCTCGGTCACCTAGTGGTCGTCCTCCATCACTGAGGCCTTTCTGGAATGAACCAGACTCCATTCCAGAAGCAGGATCCATGTGATGTGGTTGAGGAAAGAGCAACACATGGTGCTCGTGGTCTCCAGGCAGCTCTCATGTGGAGGAAGAAGGCACAGCCAGAGGGGGCTGTTCCTCCAATATCGTTCATAGTAACCTTCCCTTAAGCCAACAGACCAGAGGAAAATTGTTGTCTAACACAAGTGACAACTGCGATTTTTGAAGTCTGAGTCTATTTGTATGCCATAGACCACAGCAGAATAAATGAGAATCTCTCTGACCGTGCCATGTCCTGACTCTTAGGAATACCACATTGTGAAGAAGTCTACCCGCTCCTTAAGCACCACTCAGGTGGAATCTCCTTGGCGGCTCATTCGACCATCCGTTATCTCCATCATTGGGCTGTACAAGGAAAAAGGCAAGGTGAGCTCTGCCACAGAGGACTCTGTCCTCCAGGTGAATGTTAGCACATATGTTTTCTAATAAAAAATCAATAGTTCAGGAAGGTTACTAGCACTCGATTCTCCTACATACTGTTTTTTCGTATGTGTCCACGTAAAAGAGGATGTGTGATGGTCATACTCTCTTTTCTCTCATGACATGAGGAGTCACCAGCCCCTGGCTGCCAGGGCAGAATGGAGGGTGGAAAGAATGACCACTACCTTTTACCTCCACTGAAAGAAAAGCAGACCCTGCAGCTACAAGGAATACTCTCAAGTCATCCTTTTGAGTAAATTTCATGGCATTGCCATTATTATAAAGCAAGAGACTTGGGTAACTTGATATCATACAAATATCAAATATCAAAATTTCCCTTTTGCTGTCACACAGAATTGAAAGATTGAAACAAAAGAAGAAAATGTTGTTACTGGATAGTGGAAAATGACTCTTCTGAGCTACTTAGTTGATTTGTATGAAATTGCCATTCTTAGAGGTCAAAGATTGTCAAATATTGAGAATTTTGTACTTTCAACCTAAAAATTTCTCCTTTGAATGTACTGTGTGGCTAGTATAACACAAATAGATCTGAGAAGGGAAGTGGGGCGGGGGAATGGCAAAGTTGAATTTCCAGCTGGTTGATCAGTTTAACCATGAGCCTGTCTGGGAAGGACATTTCAGTTAAATGCTATGCTGGGACAGATACCCTTAGTTACATACTGCAAGCAACTTGGACTTCCACTCTGCTTTGGATATAGGGCCTTGGCTTTAGCATTGCTGGAGGTCGAGACTGCATTCGGGGACAGATGGGAATTTTTGTCAAGACCATTTTCCCAAATGGATCAGCTGCTGAGGACGGAAGACTTAAAGAAGGTAGGAGAAAGACTCTTGGTTATCCTCAGAGACAGTGAGCTTTAATTCCATGAGATTCTGCCCTTTCACAAGATGTAGAGCAAATGGGAGTCTGGTAGACCTGGGTTTAGTCCAACCTTACACATGAGGACCTTGGATGGGCAACATGACTGCTCAGCTGTAAACGTGCAGTATCGATGCCTGCCTTGAAGAGTGGGTGTGAGGATTAAATGGCAAAATAAGTGGAAAGTGGCTTCATATTTTCACTGATGTTTTTAAGTGTCTGCTTGGTCCTTTATTGGTTTCTTGGCCTTGAGTATTCGTTCAAGTTTGCAGTCCATTTTTGCTTCAGGGCCCGTGTGGAGGCAGAGTATTTGATCATTAGTAGATATTTAATGTCTTGCACTTGAAATTAACCACCACGTAGTTTGGTTCCTAACTGAACATCTTTTACAAGCTCCATACCACCTACCACATGCAAATATACATGACAAGTGCTCCTGGATGCAAAGTAAAGCAATATTAAAGGCCAGGTGTGGTGGCTCAGGCCTATAACCCTAGCACTCTGTGAGGCCAACACACAAGGATTTCTTAAGCTCAGGAGTTCAAGACCAGCCTGAGTAAGAGTGAGACCTCATCTTTACAAAATAGAAAAAAATTAGCCAGATGTAGTGGTGAACACCTATAATCCCAGCTACTCGGGAGGCTGAGGCAGGAGGATGGCTTGAGCCCAGAAGTTTGAGGTTGCTGTGAGCTATAGTGATGCCACTGCACTCTAGCCAGAGCAATAAAGTATGACTCTGTCTCAAAAAAGAAAGAAAAGAAAAGCAATATTGAGGCGTGCCAAGTTCTCCCTTGCAAATAAAAATTTTTAAATGTTTAAATAAATGGTATTTTTTGTGCTTTAAACATTTACAAAGCATTTCCACGTATTTATGTTATTAACTGTATCACACACCTATCAAGTAGCACTTTGGGGTGGCCGTTTTACAAATAAGAAAAGTGACAAGCAGAAATGCTTAATGACTAGAAACTTGTCCCACCCTCAGTAAACAGCAGAAATGCAATTTAAGCCCAAGTTCAGTTCACCTCCCACCTTACTGCTGCTGCCTTGTTTAAACACAAGATTGGTGACTCATCTGCCTCCTTAAACATATATTTGAGAAAATAAAACTTGAACAGGCCAAAGTGTCCTTTACAGACACAGAAGCTGCTTTAAATACAGAGAAAATCTTCCTAAGTATATATTTATGTATCTGTATATTTACTATGCAATATTTATCTGGATTAAAATTATATTTTTATAAAGCAAAATTACCAAAAAGTTAAGAACATGTTTTAAACAGCATTCACCAGAGCAAGAATACTGATTTTTCTTTCCCTTATTAATACACCTCCTTCATGAAATGTAGTACTTAAATTAGAATATTTCTTATTAAAAAAAGCCAATAATTGCTTTTTCCATTTTAAGACACACACACACAAAAGAAAATTAGAATATTTCTAGTTACCGTCCAACAGTGCTGTGACTGTTTAATTCAGTTGACCCAAACTGTAGGTACTGTTGTGTTGTAGTAGTTTGGTTTTTCTTTGCACTGATAAGAGAAAATTAGAGTCTCCCTTTTTTTTAGGCAGAGCAACCATGGAATCCTGTATGCTAATGATAAGACTTGACCATTCTTCATGCTTACATGGCAGAATATTTATTTCTCTCTCGGAGGAAGGGTTCACTCCCAAGTGATGTTTGTGTCAAGTTTCAGAACAATATAAAATTCTAGCAGTGTGTTTTTGTAGTGGATGTGCCATGCATTCACTTGATTGAAATTCATTCTGCAAGGCTGGTAAAATGGAGCGAAATGGGGGGAAAATCAATAGTGAAGAAAGGTTAATAGCATGTGATTCTCCTACATACTATTTCTTCATATGTGTTCATTTACAAGAAATGTAAGTTGTTGGAATGGATTTTCAACCTGTTGAGTGATACGTCTTTAAAAGAAAATCTCGTATGCATTTTAAGAGTGCACACTTGCTCCTTTTTCCCTGTGGAAACAACCCAGAAATATAAGCCTCCTCACCTAAATGAGTAATTGGGTATGGGGATTTTAAAACAGAGATTACTTCACTTATTCTATAACTTCTGTAATTGCATTAAAGAGAGGCCACATGACAAACACACGGGGCATTATGACATTTTTATAAGTCATTCACAGTATTCCTTTGGTATGTGCTCAGTGTGCTCCTGGGAGTGGCTGTCGATAAGAAGTGAAAATATGTGTTCTTATGCTGCTTTGCAATTTCTCATAGGTGTTCAAAGTCCCTCTCCTGTACTGCACTGCTGTGCAGAGTTCATCGTTCTTCTCTCTGGGGCATCTTCATAGTATTTTCTTGGGGTTTTTTTGCAGTTTGGCCGGGGCCAGGTTTGAACCCACCACCCTCAGTATATGGGGCCAGAGCCCTACTCACTGAGCTATAGGCGCTGCCCTTCGTAGTGTTTTTGATGAACTGTTATTCCAAAAAAAAGCCCATGTCACAAGAGTGCTAACCAGAAACAAGCTCTGATAAGTCAACAGGGTGTCCGAGTCCTTTTCTGTTCCTCGCAGATGCTATCAACAGCTTGAGAAATGACCTGACTATACCTTCCTAGGACTGAAGATAATAAGATAGCTGTTGGGGGTGGGGAGGCACGTGAGTGTGGGCATGCACCCGCCTTGCCCCTTCACACTGCCCTGCTGTAATCTCTGAGCTAGAAGCCTGTAGTAACTTGCTAGGTTACTGGCACAGAACCGGGAACCCCATCCATGAGACCCGGCATCTAGACTATTTCTGGAGATGGGGCTGCCATTTCTTAATAAAACCTCAGCAAGTTTTTTGTCTTCATCATTAAAACAATTTTCCATGTGCTGTGATGATTCTCTGGCTTGGGGAGCTTGTCTTTCTGCAGATTCAGGAGTGGCTTCTCAAATGCTACATGTTCATGCTTCATTGCCATTGGCTTAAGTTTTTGAAAATGACTATGAAGAATGGAACTCAGTTTTTGCGGTTTGATCTCTAAACACAGGACATCTCTTATCAAACATGGTTGTTTTAATTGCAGATTGAAATACGGAAGCATTACAAAAGTATATGTGTTGTCAATTGTCCCATTTGTGACATTCCTGGGAGCTAAGCTCATGAAAGTGGATTGGAACAATAAAGGTCATTTGTAGAGTGGTAAATCAGGGGCCCCTCCTAGGAGTGACTGAGCAGTTAGAATCCAGGAAATCACTGGTTAATGTTAATGTAATTCTCCTGTTTGATCACTAGGAGATGAAATCCTAGATGTAAATGGAATACCAATAAAGGGCTTGACGTTTCAGGAAGCCATTCATACCTTTAAGGTAACAGCATTCCTATTGATCTCCTTCCGCCTCCTTGTTTGCCTGCCTTTATTTCCTCCTGGAGTGGGTTTGGTGAGACTTTGTTCACCCTGTGACATTAGGGCGGTCTGAATCTTCCAGCTCACCTTTTTTTCCTTGTTTTCCCAGCAAATCCGGAGTGGATTATTTGTCTTAACGGTACGCACAAAGTTACTAAGCCCCAGCCTCACGCCCTGCTCGACACCCACACACATGAGCAGATCCAGCTCCCCGAACTTCAACATCAGCAGGGGACCTTCCCTGGGAGGTTCAGAGGA